CAAGGTAAGTAAATTCAATCTCAAAACCACTGGCATTACTTCTGATATTTTACTTGACCTGACATTAATTACAGTTGTTTCTTTTAAAGAAAAATTGCGTATAGTTAAGTTGTTTTATTTACTTTTATATAATTTTGTTTAATGCTCTTAGCTAAATTCAGTTTTTTCCCCATCTGTTTATTAAATGTTAGTGTAGGGGAACGAGGGTTTGATTTAACAAAAAAGTGCCTTAAAAAAGAAAGAAAAAAAGCGAGAACATTATTTGTATATTATTTCTATTAAATCCGTTTTAGTAAATTGGTGACAGAGACAAGAGGCAGATTTTTGGTGTTCTCTGCTTGGAGGGGGTTTGGAGGGTTTTTTCTCCCCCCCCCCTTCCTTAAATCTCACTTATGTCTGTGTGGCAGCTGTTGCTTCTTTTAAGGAAGCAAGTTTTTGAACTCAGGTTTCTGTTGCTTATCAGCACTGTATATTAAAGACATTTCCTTCACACCTCTAAAACCATTTACATATTGAAAAATGTAGATGTTTCACCAAAGTGGATTTTTTAAAAAAATAGGTTTTTTAATAATAAGATTAATTTTAAATTACTGAATAATTTTTCAAGAATTGCTAAATTTCCATATGCTTAAGGATTACAGGTGGTGAGACTAACAATAGCAACCATCGAATCTGAGGTGAAGTATATGTTTGAAGAGAGAGTTTGCATTCTGAGTTGAGGTAAAAAAATTATGAACTTGAGTGATACATTTGTCTGAGATGGATTCGTTGACTACTCATGTGGTTTCTTAGAAAGCTCTTCTTTGTGAAGCTCTTCAGCAGTATCAAAACTACAAACATTGCATCACTAGAATAAACGTATTTTGTGAAATGTCCTGAAGGCAGGATTCTTGTTACTAGCTGTCAAAGGCAAAAAAGAAAAATCATTAAGGTTGCAGTAGAGAGGAGAATACAGAGCCAGCCGCGAGGGTCATGTTCTAAACAAACCTTCATTAAGCATTCTTTGTTACTGTTGTTAGCCAGTGTATTATTAAATACAGCATTAATTAAAGAGTTGCATGTTATGAGGGTGCTTTTTGCATGAGGATCAGATTGCGTTTTCATGTGCTTCAAGAATGTACTGCTGTCTTATTTCATCTTTTGGGTGTATTCTCTCGATAGTTATTAAAAAAGCAGACCCCAACAACCTAAAACTGGTTCTAAATTTGTATTTTGTGTGTGTGTGTATGTATTTATTGTCTGTAAATAACTGTGAGATACATATTCTAGTGCTCCTTTTCTCAAGTAGCTCTGAAAACTTTGACTAGAATTAAAATGATGTAGGAATTACTTGGCTTTCTTTGCTGTAGTGGCTGAAATTAGAGACCTCTTCTTATTGTCTAATAAACAGATCCTAAAAGAACACGTTTTTCAGCTTAGAAGGGTGTAAATTTAAGCAAAATAATAATTTAGCTTATATTA